GAAGGTTGCTCTGGGAGCACAATAGGTTTCAAAGGCCTCCTTGCTCTGTATTTTATAAGAAGCTTATCTGGCAGTATCCAGGGCACATGCAGAACTGTGTGTCACAGCCCCCGTGTGCCAGGACTGAGCCTGGAACCTATCTGCCCGAGCTGCTTTTCCCTTAGCTGTGGGGCCAACATTATTCCCAAACATGTACTAAGCACCCACTGAGTGCCAGAGACCAAGGACCATGCCTGGAGGACATGGTGACCGTCCAGGCCTGGTGACCGGTCCACCGCACAGAAGCCCTACTTCACCCTTGGCTGCTGAAACTCCTTGGCCTCGGCTGTGGCATGGTTTTCTTGCCCATCCCAGAGTCCCACAGTTTTTACTTAGTAAATCTCATTTATGGCATAAACTAAACTGAACTGTCCTGGGCCTGCGTTCTCATTTGGAAAAGAAGTAAATTGCCACCTGTGTCAAAGAAAGGTTATGTGTGTTAAATGAGAGTACCAGGGTCAAGTATCTAGTAAAACAACACCAGCAGCAGCAACAACAAGAACAACAAAATCAACCTCTTATTGTGCCAGGCACTGTTCTGAGTGCATTATATTGTTTAATTCCTTTAATCTTTGTAGGATATACCTTTTTACAAAATTTTTTTTTTTGTCATTTTTACAAATCTTAAACTGAGAGAACCAGGCGTGGTGGTGCATACCTGTAATCCCAGGCCTCGGGAGGCTGAGGCAGGAGGATCACTGTGAGTTCGAGACCAGCATGGGCTGCATAGTGAGTTCCAGGTCAGTCTCAACTACATAGTGAGACTGTCTCAAAAAAAAAAAAACAAAAAACAAAAAACAAAAAACAAAAAACAAACTGAGAAACACAGGCTAAGTAAGCTTCCCAAAGTTTACACAAGAATTAAGGGCCAGAAGCAGGCTGTGCGCCCAGGCAATCTGGCCCAGAGACGTAGTAACTTCAGGTTTTTTCCCATTCTCTTAACACAAAGAGCTGCAGCCTTCCAGGTAGAATCAGCCTCTCTTACACATGCATGCTCGTGGTGTTGTTTAATTGCATACACATGTTCAGGCACATTTTTTACTGTCTGACTTTGGCCAAGTTATGTCACGGGGTTGCCCTCCCATCTCTACACCTGTAAACGTGGACACTAACAATAGTTCCTCCTTCATAGAAAGAGTTATTAGAAATGCATACATTAAACAAAATAAAGGGCTAAGAAGAGCACTTCCCACATAGGATGAGCTTCATGTAAGATGTACAGGCTGGGGATGTAGCCCAGTATTAGAGTGCTTGCCTAGCATGCGCCAGGCCCTGGGTTCAAATCTATACAAAAAAAGAGAAAAACATCCAAAGTACTAAAAAATATGTTGCTTCAGAAGAATTCTTGGGCTCCAGTGTGTGGTGGGTATTTTGTGGCTAGCTGGTCCTAATGGTTTCAAATGGTTACATTTGCTCTTTGGCAAATATACTGCATTAAAAAATGGGTTTTAGTTTCTTATTCAATCAATGAAAAGAAAGATAGGGCCACAGGATTCTGTTTAGAAAGAAATCATGCCAGGCCTATATGAAATCAGACTGAAAGCAACAAAATATAATAGAAGAGGAATATAATATAATAAAAGAGGAAGAAATCAGAGCAGTCTTCCTGGAGGCTTTTTAGGTTGTGAATTGTAGTCCACCCACTGGATAAATGCTACAACTAATGGGCAAAGAGCTTGTGAAAGTTTTATGGCTTGGTAACAATCTTTGGGTTATATAGGTTAAAGTGACTTTATACCCAATGCTGTTGAAAGCCAGGAATTTTATAAGTGAAAAAGGGCAGCTTTTGTGAACATGTTGGACATAAAACAAAACACCACATTAAAGGAAAAGCTGGAGAGCAGACAGGGCAAACTAGCTCAAGGGAGCTCTTCTGCAATCATTGTTATGGCTTTGTATTTATACGTCTTGCACCACATTTAAATTTGCAATAAAAAGCAAAAAAAAAAAAAAAAGGTGCAACACTTATTACTGTAGTTGCCTTTATACACCCCATTGGGATACAAAGCAGCATTTCAGTGCTCAGAGCAAGTGAAGGAGGAGCTCATCTTATTTCGTATCTGTAGGGGCTGCCACAGCCTTAGCACCATGTTCTAATCATGGAATTCATAATGTAAATCTCTAGCAGATGACAACACTGGAAAACAGAAATTGCCATGGATCCAGAAACGTATCTAAATTTCTCTTTAAACTTCTTATCTGTGAGCCTGGGGAGCTGGAATCTCTGTTTTAGGCGATGCATGAGGCCTGTTGGGAAACCTATGTTCTTTGGAAGACTTAATGGACTCTCGACCATTCCTTGAATACAGAAATGATCTTTATCATGTATTTCACGTGTGAAAGTGCTAAACACTTCACAAATGGCCACCTTATTTGGGTGGTTTATTCTGTAAAGGGTATGTGTCTCACACATACCTGCATAGCTCATTCTTAACCACCAACAAAAGCTCATATAAATCACAGATGGCCTCCAAAGAAGCATTCTAGAACCGTCCAGAAAAGAGAAGGTATTTCGTAGTTGTTAGATAAAAGGTCTTTTATAAATTAGACCATTACAGGAATCTTTCAAATCAACTTAAGAAAAAAAAAATAGAAATAGAAATCAACTTACGTACAGCCCTGGGGCACCTTTCCTGCTTCCTGATCAGCTTTTTTTCTCCCTGTGATGTTAAGGGGACATCCCAGCCTGGCTTTACTATTTAAGTAGGGACATCTGTTGCCATCCTGATTTTTGTTCTTTCAGCATCCCTAAGAAACTCGAGGATGCTGTAAGGACTATGAGCTGGGGGATGGGGAAGGAATCTTTGTCTCCCTAACACATTTGTCAGATGCCTCCCCAGAGCCCCTACACGCACCACATTTGAGCAGCCCACTCCCCACAACACACAAGGGCTGGAAAGATTCATGTTGCAATACCCTCCTGACATTCCTCTTCCCGCCCTCGTTTTAATTCACTCACTTTTTTTTTTTAAGCAAAATGTAATTACTTGACTGTCAGCCTGGGCTGCACTCTGGGCTTTTACTCCTTTCAACACAGCTGTGCTCCCAGCTTTGATGCTGCTGTCCACGCACACTGTCCCAGCCACAGCCCGGGCTTTCGGTAATGTAACATTCAAGTGCATATTTATTTTTAAACTGACCTCTCCTAGACTGTACAGTATAAAGGAGTTCCTGCCAAAAAAAATGCTACTTTCTATTTATAAGATGAAACACATGCCTCCCAAAGGCGAGAGGGAGATGGAGTATAATAATTCATAAAAAAAATGACTGGCCAGATCTCTTCGTCCTCACATGTCTGATACTTGTCTGTGTCAAGATACTCAGTTTCAAGGAGAAGGGGGCGGGGGTAAACGCGTCAGCTGTTCAGAAACCACAATTAGGAAAAAAAAAAAATTTTTTTTTTTCAACTGCCAGATCTGCAGGTTGGAGTCTCAGCTACAACGCCCTCCTCCAGACGGGAGAAAGACCGCGAGGGACACTGCTACAGCAGATCTGCACAGCGCGGCCGTATGTGGCCCTGGTGCAAATCCACAAAAGGGGCGCGGCGGCCAAGTGCGGTTTGTCCTCAGAGGGAAAAATGCACTACCCAGAACGGCTCGGTCCATCGTCCGAGGGTGCAGAGCGGCCGCGCGGCCCCACCCTGAAAACTCAGGGGCACAAATGGTGTAGCTCGGCGCCCCGGGCGCGCCGCCCGCCCCCCTCCGCTTGCTTTATCCCCAGCTGGCCCT